TATACATGTAGATGTATGCAGATGCAATACAATTCTGATGAGGTATTACAGAGCAGGAAGATAAATTCCCTTAATAAATAATTAAATTAATGATGCCACTAGGAGTTTCAACAGTAAGTGAACTGCCAGCATCATCATAATAGTTCCATGAATGGCAATGTTCAAGCTATTATGCAGTCAAGTTTTCATTCTGAAAAAGAAAACAATAGACTTAATGCAATATTACAATTAACACATTCCTACATACAGGATTCAGTGTTAAGGGAAAAGGATTTAAGTCTCCCCAATTCTCTGTGTGCCTAAGATTGTTTCTTTGTGTAAAGCAATCAACCACATGAACCTCAACTAATGTTGAAATATAGTCAGTGGTATAATGTGCATTAAATAAATACTACAGCCAAGTAATAGATTTACCACTGTTTTTTGTGAAAAGTACTTTAGTCAGGAGACTTAATATACAACTAATTCAGTACAAGAGAAAATTATTTTCTTACTAAACTAGACTGCTAGAAAAACACAGAGACACAAAAGGATGGAGCAAAAAACGTTCATTCTGTACCAGTATTTTGGCCCTTTCCCAGCAGCATTTCAAAGCTGGTGAAATGTTCAACAATTTACATTTAATGCTCAAATACTTTGGCAAGTCAGTTGGTATAATAATAAAACATCTGACAACAGAGCATAAAGTCTATGCCATAGTTGCTTATTTCTGTCCAAGCCTAACATCTGAAATACTCAATTTCATAAAATAACTTACCTATAATTGCCATATTTGTTATACAACTGGTTTTTCACTGTCCTGCTTTTCTTCAGATTCTTCATCTGATCCTGTGAAAACAAAGTGGAAGACTGAAGACAATGCAGCCATTAAACTTTACTAAATACCATATATATGTCCATGTACATAAGAACAGGGAACCTTTCTTCCCCCGGTCCTTTCGAGTTAGTGTTGACTCCTGGCAACTGCCTGGACAAATCCCTGCAGTTTTCTTGGGAAGATTTCAGAAGTGATTTGCCATTGCCTTCTTCATATGGCTGAGAGAAAGTGACCGGCCCAAGGTCACCCAGCTGGCTTTGTGCCTAAGACAGGACTAGAACTCACAATCTCCCAGTTTCTGGCCTGGTGCTTTAACTACTACACCAAACTGGCTTTCTGAACCTAAAATTATCTACTTTTAATTAATGTAATGCAGAAACAGATTGCAACTGTTTCTACAATTTTCTTGCTCTTCATTAAAATTAATCCAACTTGCCAAAATATATAGATGTGTTTTTCAATCATAATGCCATAGCACCATAACAAAAAGATACCAAACATGCAGAAGTGAGAATGTATTATTTGGTACATGGATAATTTGTTCAATCTAACAGTAAAACCTACCTAAATGCATAAATACAGCCTGGAAGAATCTTATTAGCAGCAAGAAAAATCTGTGGTTCAGTATCAGGGAAATAGATCCTGGCTCCATTTTCTGATTTAAAACTAAAACTTCATTCATATTCACTATACAATCAAATAACATAGCAAAAGAATTTAAAGGCACTAAATATCTTGCACACCACTTCAACTCAAAAATCAGCACACTGTCCCCAAGTGTCTGATACAATTCTACCTACAGTGTTCTTTTCCCATGACATAGTCATCTATTAGCAACTGCCCTATGGGAAGGATATTAATGATTTGCTATTGGTAGATACTGTCATGTATTTTTTTTCCTAAGCTTTCTTAGAAAGATCTGTATCCCAAAATTTGAGCTACAGTATATAAACACTAAACACTGAATGGTTAACATTTGCCTTCAAGGCCACTAGATGGCAGTAAAAGGGAAGTAATTCCACTTCTAATGACTTACTATTTCCCCAAAATTCTTTATAATAAAACCAGCCCCAAACTCATTGTTGTTCTACTGCACGGTGTTCACCAAGTAGTACGAAACCCTTTAATACTTCTGCACCAGTAGCACATTTAGCATACATACGCTCCAGCAAAAAAGCAAACACTAATGTAGTTTAGTTATTGCTCTGTAAACTTTGAACATTAAAAATCTCAGAAACATTTTGAGATTAACCACATGAGCATCATTTATATGGCCTTTTGTTTACAAAGTATTTATTCACAGAGTCAATACTATAGTGTATTCTTTCATATAATCAATATAATATAGAATAAAATACTGCTACTACAGTATTGTATATCTTAAATTTATTTTGTGCAATTTTTCTTTTTTGTTTTAACCATTGTAAACTTATAAAAGAAAAATAGTACATTATCATCTATACAGAATTATTTCTCAAGTTCATCAATAAAATAAATATTTTAAATTGCATTTAGTACTGGAGACTACTGGCTCAGCAAAAATGTTTTGAGTAGAGGAGGATCAGATGACATTTTCATGTATCCAGCCTTTTGTTGCCACCAACAAAAGAGCTATATAAGCCACACAACCACCATCCTGATGAATCATACATTCCTACAATGGTCAACTTGATTCCTTGGAGATACTAATATGTAGGACATGCGCACAAGAGTCATTGTACATATTTCACCTATTTTGTGTTGGTGTTTACTATTTCTATTGTTCATGGATATTACCAGTGGACAACTTTCCTTTTTAGATTATCAGAATCCAAGCATCACCAAGGATGTAAGACACTATGTGGAGGGAAGGTGCTACAACCATTCACCTGGCCTGGAAAAAAGGAAAATTTATTGTGGTGGAACAGGACACCCTGAAGGCATTAGAAGGGGTGGCAAAGAGCTAGCCCATCAATTTGCCTTCTGGTAAATGGCATTTTGTGAGTGGTCACATCCCTAAGACACTCATTTTGTAAACAGGCAACTTGGTGATAAGTATTTTATGAATATGCATTCTCAAAATTCCAAATGTACCCACCAGTCTGCTTGATCTAAATCTTAATTACCTGCTTCAGATTCAGGAGGGGAATAAAACTGCCCATCAGAAAGGAGGCCAGGCTGAATAAGAGCAGCTCGTTCAGAGGCATCCTGCACTAGCAATAGTCCTAAAGGCAAATAATCATAGAAGTGTTCATTTATTACTATATCTTCCAAAACAAATATACAGTGGGGCAAAAAAGTATTTAGTCAGCCACCAATTGTGCAAGTTCTCCCACTTAAAAAGATGAGAGATAATTTTCATCATAGGTATACCTCAACTATGAGAGACAAAATGGGGGAAAAAATCCAGAAAATCACATTGTCTGATTTTTAAAGAATTTATTTGCAAATCATGGTGGAAAATAAGTAATTTTCATCATAGGTATACCTCAACTATGAGAGACAAAATGGGGGAAAAAATCCAGAAAATCACATTGTCTGATTTTTAAAGAATTTATTTGCAAATCATGGTGGAAAATAAGTAATTTTCATCATAGGTATACCTCAACTATGAGAGACAAAATGGGGGAAAAAATCCAGAAAATCACATTGTCTGATTTTTAAAGAATTTATTTGCAAATCATGGTGGAAAATAAGTAATTTTCATCATAGGTATACCTCAACTATGAGAGACAAAATGGGGGAAAAAATCCAGAAAATCACATTGTCTGATTTTTAAAGAATTTATTTGCAAATCATGGTGGAAAATAAGTAATTTTCATCATAGGTATACCTCAACTATGAGAGACAAAATGGGGGAAAAAATCCAGAAAATCACATTGTCTGATTTTTAAAGAATTTATTTGCAAATCATGGTGGAAAATAAGTATTTGGTCACCTACAAACAAGCAAGATGTCTGGCTCTCACAGACCTGTAACTACTTCTTTAAGAGGCTCCTCTGTCCTCCACTCGTTATTTTCCACCATGATTTGCAAATAAATTCTTTAAAAATCAGACAATGTGATTTTCTGGATTTTTTCCCCCATTTTGTCTCTCATAGTTGAGGTATACCTATGATGAAAATTACAGGCCTCTCTCATCTTTTTAAGTGGGAGAACTTGCACAATTGGTGGCTGACTAAATACTTTTTTGCCCCACTGTAATTAGTCATTTTAATAT